TCGCGATTGTGTGTCTCCGAGCAACACACAGCGGTGTTTCGTGAATCCACGTTTTTGAACAAATCGAGTGAGTCAATGATTCAGTGGCCCATTCATAAGGATAGTCCCTTGCCTCGTTTCTGAATGAATCAAACGGTTGAATGAATGAATAAATGACTCACTCATTAAAACAGACATTTGCCGCCACCTACTGGTGGTTTAGTCATATTTAAAAGTATCATTGCATTTTTTCAACATTTATTTGTGTTTAAAAAATATGCAAAATATTAATCTTATACAATTATTTATGCATTTGAAATTTTGCAGTGCAAATGCATTTATGGCACCTCAGCTTCATCAAACTGTCTGTGTAAATGCATCGAATGCCGCTTCAGATGCAGCTTCTGTTTCCTCAGCAGTGAAAAGATAGAGTTTGTTAATACTAATTTTATTTGAATGGTAACAACTCTACAGTTTCTTATTATTCTAACTGAATTAATTGAAACAAAGTAAGAATTTGATGTGAAAGATGACACATTTAATAAGTTTAGGGGAAAAATGACCATTTATAAACATAGTGGGAAATTACATCTGTTTTGTTACATACAGCAACTCATTTTAAGTTAAATATTTCTTCCTCTTTCCTGCCACAGAGCACTTTATTTTTTGAGAGTTGTTTAAGTGAGAGAAAATCTGTAACTTAGTCCAAATTGTGGGAATTGTAATGTTTAGTAATTTATTTTATTATGTAAAAAAAATTTGCATTGAAATTTGCATAGATTTTTGCTTGTATATGCTGTCAATTATAGTTCTTAGAAAGAAAATCGGAATCGGCAAAAATCGGTATCGGCAAGTCACACTTCCAAAAAATCAGAAATCGGAATCGGCCAAGAAAATTGCAATCGGTGTATCTCTAGATGCGATTAATCGCGATTAATCATGATTAATCGTTTGACAGCACTAAATAATAATAACAGTATTATTATTATATAAACTAAAATTACAATGAAATACTTTACAGTTCAAGAGTATTATAGTGATATTTAGTGAAAAATAAATAAATAAAATAAATACATAAATATTGCAATTAAATGTGCTTCCCCAATTTGTTCTGCCTTTTGGTTTAGGAAATAATGTACATACAGTTTGATGGCCGGTAAATTTTTCACAAGTCACCAGCTATTGGCAGGTGTGGCAAAATGTTAGTTTTGTTTACATACAGGCAAATGAAAGGACTATAAAGTGGAGGTAATTTCTTTTTGTTTCAGCTAATATGACCCAATTTATAAGGGATAAAGTTAAAGATGCCACAATATCATGGGGATACGTTTAAGCGTGGGGTTTGTGCAATTTTAATGAGTGTTTCTCTTTAAAAAACTTCACAGAATTAATATGTATCAAGAAAAGTATTTTTTTTTTCAGAGGAACAAAAACTTCTGGGTAATTAATATTCATAGACTGTGCTTGTTAACACCCCCAATGCAAATGCAGTGGAGATCCAATTAACATAGAATGGTCCCCGAGGAATCGGGACGATAAGGGTTAAACGAGCTATTGAAATTGAAACTAGGCCTTTCGGCCCGTTTTTAAAACACTTATTTGTTTCAATAAAACGGTAATCCGTGTAGCTGCTCGTTTCTCAGATTAAGGCATCTCAGTCGGGCTCTGGAGGCTTGGAACGAAGGTACCGATGTGTGTGCGCTCGTGGTGCCCACCCGTCACTAATGCAGAAGTGCTGTAGCTGAGGTAGCTTTTATTTCTTATTCATAATCTGCTGGCGCTAGGCGGATAATAGACATCAGTGTTCATTCAGAGAGCGGCGTGTCAGCCAGACCGCGGCTGACAGAGCAAAGTGCTGGGGTTCTGCGTGTCTCTAGCTAGCTACCGGCCCTTCCCGTATAGTTCCCCGGGGAGGCGATGAGAAAAGCACCTGCTGAAGCGCTACAAGAGTCTTGAACACTTAACAATGCCAATAAACGTGATTGTCCTGTGATTTGATGATGATGATGTGCTGCAGCTGTTTGTTTTGTTTATATCTGACAAGCACATATTGCCTCACAGAATCAAATCTTCATCAGTGGATTATTACTGTAGAGAGGGTTTAAAACGTGGGAGGGACATTATAAAGACGTTTATGGCACACATAAAGATGTTAGAATGCCTTCTTAGTAATTATAAGCATCACAGGACAGATTTTTTGCACCTGTGTAGTAATTGCGTTGCGGAGGTAAAGAAATTACCTTTGACATGCAGAAGTTAAACTTAAACTCAAAATTTTTTAGGGAAGTGATTTTATTTTATATTCATATTAATTTATATTTATTTCTCCAGTCTTCAATGTCTCATGATCCTTCAGAAATCATTTTAATATGCTGATTTGATCCTCAAGAAACACTTCTTGTTATTACCTATGTTGAAAACAGTTATGCTGCCTAATATTTGTTGTTGTTGGTATTGTTATAATGCAAAATTCTTGTCACTTTTTATCAATTTAATGCATCCGTGCTGAATAAAAGTATTAATTTCTTTAAACAACAACAACAAAAAACTTAATAACCCCTAACTTTTAAATGGTAGTTTGTGTATGTACTGTATATGGTGACCATCCTATACCATAGTTTAAATATTGTTATTATTATTAGCCTTTATTTAACCAGGCAGTGCAAGTCATTTTTGAATTTCTGGAATCTCCTGGAGGACATACAGACATACATAACCTACTGTATCATTATAAACATACAATATATTGCAACATAACATGAAAAAAGTAACTAGTACCATACCATGATTAAGATGTATGCAAAATTATTACAGGTGTTTTACCTTGTAATGACATTGGGGGTCCCTTTGTAAAGGGGTCATATGATGCGATTTCAATTTTGTCTTTCTCTTTGAAGTGTTATAAGCTCTTAGTGCATAAAGAAGATCTGTAAAGTTGCAATGACTAAAGTCTCAAATCCAAAGAGATATTCTTTATAAAAGTTAAGAGTCAACCACGCCTACCTAAAACGGCTCGTTCTAACACGCCCCCACATGTCTATGTCACGATGTGGGGAGATTTGCGTAACGCGCCCAAATGGTCACGCAAAGAAAGAAGGCGTAACTTTTATTCTCGCTGTAGTATTGTTGTTGCCGCCGCCATGTCGTGAAGGCGCTGTGTGTTTCGTTGTGAAAGCGAAACTACTTTGTTTGGCCTTCCAAAAGAGGACAATATCCGCTTTGTGATGCCTAGAGCTGATCCGTGCTGGTCACTGAGGAAATACATCAACTTTGCGCTGTGGATCGCCTCACTCTAGACCGCCGGCCTCCGCTCACTCGAGCCCGCCGTGTGTGATGCTGTGTGTTTCATTGTGAAAGAGAAACTACTTTGTTTGGCCTTCCAAAAGAGGACATGACTAGAAATCAGTGGTTAAGTTGTATTTACAACACTGTTCCAGAACAGTTCAACCCAAATATTCAGATGTGTGCAGCACATTTTATGGAAAACTGTTTCCTGATCCTCGGAGAGTAGACTACAATGCCGGCTGTTCTGACTCACAGACTGTAAGTAAGTTTTCATATTTAAAGGATTTGCCACTGACGATTCAAACACTAGTTTTGAGCAGTGTAGAGTAGCGCTTGTTTGTCATTTCTCCAATCACAAATGCACACATGGTTTTATGTTTACGCGGCCCGATGCAATGCGCAAAAAGAAAGTATAAGTCATTATAATCTGTAATTATGTCTCCACTGGATGCTACAAATGCCTCGTTTATAATGGGTTTTAATGTTTTTGTCTCGTCTCTCCAGCTGGACAGGGCATCACAGTATGGTAGGGGTGTAACATTTCCGTCACACGCTTGAGGTATTCGGCCAATCACAACGCACTGGATATCTGGCTAATCAAAGCACACCTCGCTTTTCAGACCAATGAGCTTTGTAAAAATCGACGCGTTTCAGAAAGGCGGGGCATAGAGGAGAAACAATAATGTACAGTATGTGGAAAATAATGTGTTTTTTTAACCTTAAACCGCATAAACACATTTCATTACATCAAATACACAAAATAATGTTCTTTTTAACAACATCATATGACCCCTTTAATAGTTAATTGCATGTGGTAGTGCAAAATTAATATTTTTGTCTGTATTCCCTCAATAGAAAGGCCGTACATTTTAAATGTGCACAAAATGGTCAAGCTAAATTTGTTAGAAACTAATAGCCATGGACTCAAAGCCACAGACCTCAAATTTTGATCTCATGGGGTTTTTAAGTATCAAATATCACACGGCCCTGTGTAAAAAGATTACAGGAAATAAAAAAGCTAAAATCTCATTCTGTTAGTCCAGAATGAACAAGTCTGACCCATCTTCCTCCAGCAAACCCAGTTATGTTCATCACAGCCCTCTCGTGCCATCACTCCTGCCAGTAATAACCACGTCCTAGGTGTGCGGCAGTGATGTGGCCTCTATTCCAAAGAGAAATGGTGCTGGCCGCTGACTGCTTGTGTACCATTTGGAGAATGATATTCCCTGTCAGTGCCGTGATGTCTTCCCATAAATATCAGTGATGGCACCTTGCGTTCTAGGAATGACGCCCACCATAAATAGTTCCCCTTTGCACACCGTACACATAAATCCTTCATCCTACCCCCCTTTCCTTTTTTTCTTCTGTATGAAAGGAAGGAGGGAAGGAAAAGGTGATGTATTATTTACATGGACAATAAAGAAACAAATGTTTTGCAGCATGGAAGAACGCAGAGAGCAATTCCCCTCGCAGTGGTGGGGCGCGCGACCGTGAGACGCTCTGAGCGGCAGTGAGCTGTTGTTATTTGCTTGTTTACAACCTCTGACATGATGTAATGGGACGGCCCGTGAAAGCACTAGCTAGCAAATGGCACAGAAAATAAGACCAGGTCTTTATGTCTGCACACACTCGCTGTCTATTTCTCTCTTCTCTCTCGTTCTCTAGTTTTTTTCTTCTTCTTACCCACTGTACTCTCAAATATGCTGTGCTTTGACTACAGAGATGTGAACCCTGAATATAAGTCACTGTTTTTTACATTAGGATCTCCCCGAGGTAAGCAGAAAGGGAAAGAGGAAAATATCTTGTCCAGCTGTGAAATGCAAAAGTGAAATCTAGCAGAAAGAAATATTTATGACCATTTTCTGCTTGATTAGATGTGGACGTTATGAGCCGGGAAAGACAGAGACGCCGGACAAAGGGCCGTGTGCGGCTTCTGAACAGATGTGTAGAGAGAACACAAGAGCAAGAGTGTGATTGTTTGAATGGGAAAAGGGTTTAAGTGATTGTACTGTAAATAGGAATTGGAGATTGAGGCATACTTCAGTAGTCCTTATTTTTAGACTGTAAACCACTACGCCATTACTATTCCCAGCATTTCCTGAAAGTAGGTCTGGATGATGCGACTGTATATACTGTCTATATGTCAAGATTTTGATAGACTGTCTATGTCTTGTTCTTAGATTGATCTGTTTGGGTTTTAGAGGGCGAAAGAGTCAAACAAAACAAAATAAAATAAAAATGTAAAAGAAATCTAAAATATGTTTAAAATTAAGTATTTAATTATTAAAAAAACATAAAAGATGTGTGTGTGTATATATATATATATATATATAATTTTTTTTCTTTTCTTTTTTTTTACATGTAAATACTTTTTAAAATTATATTATAATTTTACAAATTGTTTGAACCCCCTAGTGAGGTTTTGTTTTGTTGCTATTGTTTTTAGCTCTTGCACAGAAAGCAAGACTGTGTACGCAAAATGCAAATATTGTCTTCCTGTTTTGTGTGTGTGTGTGTGTGTGTGTGTGTTTTTAACCCTGTGGATGTGTGCATGTGATTCTGTTTGTGTGAATCTACGCCGGTCGTGTGTGTTACGGGGGGGTTGCCAAGGGTTTGTGGGTAATTTCCCTAATGTCTTCTTCTATCAACAGAACATCCTGTAATATAAGACGTCTTAGTGAAATGCTCATATTGTATTTGACTGTAATTTATCTTCATAAATGCTTATTGTTATGGTATGATAAACATTTCTATTATCATTAGATCTTACAGCACAATAAGTCAACCAGCATGCGTGATTATGAAAAGCAGCGCTAGTAAATAATCTCTTAATTGCAATATTAATGCAATCGTTTTGTGCACAAGCAGTCTGTTTGGCTCACCGGATGGCATATTTGATTCGAAAGCAAGCATGTGACATTTTTCAAGAATCAGAGCATGTGTAAAATTATGAGAGTATGATTAATTTTTCAATTTCTCTCTGCGGATATCTAATAATTGTGCCCACATATAGCCAAAGGCTGCTATTAAACATTAAAATGCAGAAAAAAGAAAAGAAAAAAAAAGAAACCACAAACAAAAAGAAGGAAAGTTAGAACTTCTGTAGGGCAACAGATAAAATAAAGCAACAGATAAAATAAAGCAAACTAGTCATGGTTTGTTCAAATTTTTCACACTTTGTACTGCTGTAGGCCTTTTTTAAATGAATTTTTAAGCAAAAAATATAGAGCATGTGTAAAATTATGAGAGTATGATTAATTTTTCAATTTCTCTCTGCGGATATCTAATAATTGTGCCCACATATAGCCAAAGGCTGCTATTAAACATTAAAATGCAGAAAAAAGAAAAGAAAAAAAAAGAAACCACAAACAAAAAGAAGGAAAGTTAGAACTTCTGTAGGGCAACAGATAAAATAAAGCAAACTAGTCATGGTTTGTTCAAATTTTTCACACTTTGTACTGCTGTAGGCCTTTTTTAAATGAATTTTTAAGCAAAAAAAATATATATATTGATGCTAATTTTATTCACTGTTAAAGGAATAGTTTACCTCAAAATGATCATCTGTTAATAATTATTTACTCACCCTTATTTTTTTCTCTCTGTAGAACATAAATATTCACACTGCTGCTCTTATCCATACAATGAAACTGAAAGGGAAACGGGAGCTATCGACCTCCAAAATAGCATCTGTAACTGGTTTGATGTACTATAAGTGATTGCTTTAAGAGCAAATTGTAGTTTGTGTGCCTATACATTATGTGTGGATGTTTGATTGTATTTGAGATGATAAAAAGATTCTTTCTCTCCGTCTGTCTTTCGTCATCATTCTCCTGGCCTCCATCTTTCCTAAATCCCCAACCCCCCTCCTGCTTAGCCGTCGTTATCACTTTGCTCTTTCCTCTTAATATCATCTTCATCTCAGATTGCCATGGCACAGGGGAGATGCGCTTGTTGATCCAATTTGGCTCGCGTAACGCTCGGCGATCCGCTTGGCTGAAGTGCCCACGATGTGCGCTGAATGCTGAGGACGAGTGCCACAGTGGTGCGGTGATTGATTGATTCAGCCTGTCACAGGACAAGATAACAGCATCAGTAAATACTGATGGAGTAGATCACTCTACTCCTCCACAGTAGGCCACCGTGGGGGCAACACGTGTTTGAATGTGCCCTGGCCCCCTCAGGAAGTGGGTTATATTGAGGGAGAGCTGTATGAATGTGTGTGTATTTCACTCGAATTATATTTATTTTGAGTATCGCTGTGTTAAAGGAACAGTTCACCCAATAATGAAAATCCTGTCATCATTTACTCACACTCGTGTCCTTATAAACCCGTACAAAGAGCAATAAGTACCATTTTCAGAGCTCTGTTTCCACAATGAGATCAGTGATACACAAGACCTGATAGCGTTTGGTACCAGTGTTAAACATGTTGAATAACAACTTAATTTGTGTGTTTTTCTCACCATGTGGTTCTACAAGACTTTGAATATAGTGCACAAGTTATATAAACCTTTTTTTCCCCCCTTTTTGGATATCGACAGCCTTTGGTCCCTTTATACTACCATTCTAAGGTTTGGGGGTCATTAGGTTTGAGTAATTTTTATTTTGTTTTAATTAGCAAGTATGCATTAAACTGATCAAAAGTGACAGTAAAAACATGTATAATGTTACAAAATAATTCAGCTTCAAATAAATAATTTTTTTTTTTCTTTTTCTAATTTTCTATTTATCAAAGAATCCTGGAAAAAAAGGTTTCCACAAATTTCACAAAAATATTTAGCAGCACATTTGTTTTCAATATTGATAATAAGAAGCATCAAATCAGCATATTAGAAAGATTTCTGAATGATTGTGACACTGAAGACTGAAATAATGGCTGCTGAAAATTCCACTTTGTCATCACATAAATTACATTTTGAAATATATTGCAATAGAAAATTTACTTTAAATTGTAACAATAGTTCACAATATTATTGTTTTTATTATATTTTCTATCAAATAAATGCAGCCTTTATGAGCATTAGAGTCTTATTTCAAAGTAATTAAAAAGTCTTAACACTAAAACTTTTGAATAGTAGTGTGTACTTTTGTTTAAAAATTTTTTTTTAAAGTTTAGAGTTTTCTAAAGATCTAATTTTAGGTCCCACAGAAGGCTGAATGTCATACAGATTTGAAAATTCCATGAAAGTAAATAATGACAACTTCATTTTTGGATAAACTACATGGTCTCAAAAATATAAGGAATTTCTTCTAAAGACAAGCTTCCTCAAGGTGGTCTTGTTGACAGGTCTTAATCTTGATAGCAGTACTTTAGTTAGTGTTAATCAAATGCTCTTTTGCTGGTTTCTCCCTCATTAATCAGCCGCTGATAAAGCCGTGTTAGAATTTGCCAAAAAAATAAAAAATGTAAACTGTGTACAATAAATTAGTTCTTTATCTTCTTAATAAAATCAAAGTGGACATGTGGAATGATTGAGGCTATTTATAGGCCATTGGGGAGATAGACAGACACTCTTGAGAAGAGAGAGAAGTCAAAGGGAAAAGTTCTGGACAGGGAGGCTGGAATTGAAAATGATGTCCAAGGGAAATATTGTCTCTTTTTTTCTTTCTTCCTTGCTTTATCTTTCTCTCCCTCTTTCTTTATAATTCACACCCACGCTCACCAAAAAAATTAAAATTTAGTAATTTACTTGCCCTTATGTCATTTCAGACCTGTACGACTTTTTTTGTTTGTGGAACACAATAGAATATAAAATGTCTCTCTATTGTTTTTGTCCATATAATGTTGTTTTGACACCAGTGTCGTCTTATGTCTTCTGCTGAAGAAGGAAAGTAAGCTCCAGACAATCGTAGGCTAAACCTTTGTATTGTAGATGAGCACTTCTTTCTTTTCAAGTTTAGTTCAGGACTTAAGCAGCACAGTAAAATGTAAAAGTGAGTAAAAAAATGTGAGTAAATGAAGGTCTCCATATGTCCCACAATCCTCGGCTCTTAAGCACACCTCAGCATACCGTTCCTACTAAGCATTTCAGCTGAGGCAATCTATAAACTGCGGGAAGAAAGTGAGTTTCCACAGTGTTGTGTATGTGTGTCATCTGTTTTTAGCCATCTTACTGAAGCCAGAAACACACACATACGACACCACATATTTCAAACAGATGTTGAAGTTAGGAGGTACACAAGATCCCGCAATCAAAATAATTATCCTTACAGCCCAATGTTTATAAAATGTGACACTAAGCATTGGGTCTCACTGAAGTAGCCATCATGTGTTAAACACGTTTAACACATGTCGTTTTTTTCATGTCGTTTTTTTTTTGTAATTTTTTATTTAATTTTTTTAGAGAGCAAAGTATTAACAAGAAACCAAGAAAAGTGAGGAGGAAGGGATGATGTGAGGCAGATTCTAATTTGCATTGTCTTCATTAGCACCATTGTAGTGCACTTAACATTAAGCCACAGTTTTTCAACATTTCTAATGCACATTTATACATTTTATTTCATGCTCAACTTCAAATAAATTTTTCTTTTGTACATTTTTACATATAATTGTTTTTACATGCTTCTTTCATTGTTTCAGTGAATCGTCTCACTTTCTTAAAGAACTTCTCTCGTCTGTTAATGAACACACACCTTTTGTTGAGCCGAAAACCCAGAGAACTTTATATTTCACACCAGCAATGAAACCGTACCGCGCTTTTCACCGCCACCGAAATGATGCACAGTATAAGAGCTCGCCGTAATAAAGTCAATTAATTGGCGCCTGTGGCTATAACGTGGACATTGTGTATAGATGTAGAT